TTTGATGTCGCTGATTTATTTCCTTCTTGGACATTACTTCATGGAATTGGTGGAATGAGAAACAGATTGAAGAGTTTACATCAGAAGATTGATGTAATTTTAGAGAAAATAATTCATGAACATAAAGAGAATCGAGCAAATGGAAAAAAGGGAAATAGTGAGTTTGGGGGTGAAGATTTGATTGACGTTTTACTCAGAGTTATGGAGAATGGTGAACTTCAATTTCCAATTACAAACGACAGCGTCAAGGCAGTTGTTCTAGTAAGTTTGGTTCTATCTCATCAAAATAATCATTCATTTATCGTGTCACATAAACTAAAACGGATGAAAAATGAGTGAATACTCATGTTTGAACTGTTGTTGTTCCTGTTAATTGTTATCAGGAGAGGAACATATTAAGAAACATGTGGAAATCTTATCATCTTTCGTGTTAAGTTTTGGTATATCTATCTTTCTTTCTTTTTAATAATTGTGGTGTGTAGGTCAGCTTGTACATTACCAGAAACAGGTACCAGGTAACTCTGACTATCATTTGTCAAAAATCGTATATTAATAGCTGAACTTCATTGTTGTAGGACCTGTTTTTTGGGGGAACTGAAACTTCATCAGTAATAATACAATGGGCGTTGTCTGAACTGATGAAGAACCCAAAAGTGATGGCCAAAGCACAGGCAGAAGTGAGACGTGTCTGTAAAGGGAAGAAAGATTTGAATGACAATGTTGTCGAAGAGTTGAAGTATCTGAAGTTAGTGATCAATGAAACACTACGGTTACACCCTGCATCTCCTCTTTTAGGCCTTAGGCAATGCCGAGAAGAAACCAAAATTGATGGATACACTATTCCTCTTAAATCCCAAGTGGTTGTTAACGGTTGGGCTATTGCAAGAGATCCTGAAAGTTGGGACGACCCTGAAGCATTTGTGCCAGAGAGATTTGAAAAGAATTCTGTGGATTTTAACGGAAATCATTTTCAGTATATTCCGTTTGGTGCAGGAAGCAGAATGTGTCCAGGAATGCATTTTGGTTTAGCTAACGTTGTGTATCCGCTAGCACAGTTGCTTTATCACTTCGATTGGAAACTTCCTTATGGACAACAACCTGAGGATCTGGATATGACTGAAACACTTGGAATATCTGCAACTAGGAAGAATGATCTTAACTTGATTGCCATTTCATATGATTAAAAATGTCATTATTATATATATATATAGTTTAATGATGCCTACTTTCTTATTCAGACTCTATGTAAAGTTGTATTTCAATCTTTCTAAGTTTATATGTATCCCCTAAGAAAGTAATAAATCCTATTTTATCTTTCTAAGTTCATAATTGATCTTGGTTAAAATTTTACAGAAGTACTATTAATGTGATTTTGACACCAAATCCAAGCAATTTTCATGAATATATGTTAATTATCTCCTCATTTGTTCATTGAGATTGCCAAATTATATATTGATAAAAGATATGAGTAATATGACAGTTCTCTATGGAATTTCGATATTTATGTTTTTCAAACACTTCACAAATTTATAGATACACATATCGTATATGACAATTTATGTGAGATGCCACGTATAAGGTAAATATCTATTGCTTTAACTTTATACAAATTCAAATATCTACTAATTCATATTTAAAATTAAAAGACTCATTTATATATTATGCTAGACTAAAATATATTCTCTCTTTAAAATTTTGTAATAATTGCTCAGAAATTGACAACTGAGTCATCATCCATCAACCCCTTTATACGTGGACCTGCCGACTGCGATGCTTGCTAAATTATTGTGGCTTATATAATTAAAAAATATAAATAAAATAACCAAAACTTTTTTTTAGTGGGCAGTGTTTAGTAGGTTTACTTGAGTTTATAAGATTGCGAAGAATTTGTGAGAAAATTATCAAATCGTGAGAGAATTGTCAAATATTGCGATGTGATTAGTAGATCTAATGTCAAAAAAAACTTATTTTGAGCTTCTAAAATCGTGAAAGATTCGTAAACGAGCTATTAAGTTGTCTTTTTTAAAATTTAACTATTTTGGTATCTGTTATGTGATTTTGACACCAAATATGAGCAATAAAAAATCTGGTATATGATGGTTCAAACTTATTTAATCAGCTAACAAATTTATACAACTTTTGTTGAGTTCCTGCTCAGTATAGACATATGGAGATTCTGCACTTCCATTTCAATTCTGTTTCAATATTCTTGCTTTTCTTTTTCCTCCTTTTAGTTATTTTCGTTCGAAAAACAAAAAAAAGTAACCAAAGATTGCCACCAGGTCCATGGAAATTGCCTATTATTGGAAGCATACATCACCTTATTATCACGTTCTTAGAAATTTATCCAAAAAATATGGACCTATAATGCACCTGAAGTAAGGGGAAATTGATGCAGTCGTCGTATCGTCTCCTCATATGGCAAAACAAGTACTAAAAGTTCATGACCTTTCTTTTGCAGCAAGGCCAAAGCTTGTGACATCTGACATAATCTTTTATCGTCAAAAAGACATTTTTTTTGCAAAATATGGTGATTATTGGAAACAGATGCGTAAAATATGCATTTCAGAGTTACTTGGTGCAAAGATGGTCAAGTCGTTTAGTTTAATTCGACAAGATGAGGTTCATGATCTTGTTGCATCTATTCGTTCTACGCCAAATGTTGTGGTTAATATGTCTGAAAAGGTTCTTAGACTTACTAGCTCTGCTATATGTAGATCTGCTTTCGGAAAAGTATGGGATGATAGGGATTATTTGTTGATGATCATGAGGGAAGTACTAGCCTTATTAGGCGGATTTGATGTGTCCTTCTTGGACATTACTTAACGAAATTAGTGGAACGAGAAGCAGATTGAGGAGTATGCATAGGAAGATTGATGTAATATTGGAGAAAATTATTCATGAACATTAAGAGAATCAACCAAATGAGGAGAAGGGCCACGGTGAGTTTGGTGGTGAAGATTTGATTGATGTTTTACTTAGAGTTATGAAGAATGGTGAACTTCGATTTCCATTGACAACATCAAAGCAGTCATTCTAGTAAGTTCGGTTCTATCTTTCATTTAGAGTGTTTTTTACACTTATCGTGCCACGTAAGAAAAAAGATAAGTTTCTTAATTTTAAAATCATTCATATATTACCTCTCTCATGTTTTAACCGTTTGATATAACAGCTGCTTCTGTTATCCGGACAGGTACATATTAAGGAACATGTAAAAATCTTACCATCTTTCATTTACTTGTTCGTATATCTATCTTTATTTTTTATAATCGTGGTGTTTGGGTCAGCTTACACACACCTCGACTGATTCCATGAGATACCTGCCACCAGAAACAGGTATTAGGTAACTCTGTCCACCAAGGCTAGAACAAATGGGAAGTCGTTCTTTTGTAGTGGCATAATGTTACATAGAATGGGATGTACAAAGGTTTTCTTAAGTTCCTAGATACCTCTTCTATCATTAGGCAAAATCATATATTAATAGTTGAACTTCAATGTTGTAGGACCTGTTCTTTGGGGGAACTGAAACTTCATCAGTAATAATACAATGGGTGTTGTCTGAACTGATGAAGAACCCGAATGTGATGGCCAAAGCACAGGCAGAAGTGAGACGTGTCTGTAAAGGGAAGAAAGATTTGAACGACAATGATGTCAAAGAGTTGAAGTATCTGAAGTTAGTGATCAATGAAACACTACGGATACATCCTGTCTCCTCTTTTAGGCCTTAAGCAATGCAGAGAGGAAACAAAAATTGATGGATACACTATTCCTCTTAACGATCAAGTGGTTGTTAACGGTTGGGCTATTATTGCAAGAGATCCTGAAAGTTGGGACGACCCTGAAACATTTGTGCCAGAGAGATTTGAAAAGAATTCTGTGGATTTTAATGGAAATCATTTTCAATATATTCCGTTTGGTGCAGGAAGGAAAATGTGTCCAAGAATGCATTTTGGTTTAGCTAACGTTGTGTATCCGCTAAAACAATTGCTTTATCACTTCGATTGGAAACTTCCTTATGGACAACAACCTGAGGATCTGGATATGACAAACAGTTGGAATATCTGCAACTAGGAAGAATGATCTTCACTTGATTGCCATTCCACATGATTTGTCAAAATATTGACACAAAATATCATTATCATAGTGTAATGATGCTTTCTTTTCCTATCCAGACTCTGTGCAAAGTTGCATTATGTCTAAGTTTATCCCCTAAGAAAAAAAGATTCCCCTAATGGCAAATCGGGTTTGACAGATCAAGCACTCCATTTCTCTGTGTCATCATTTTTAATTTACTTAAAAGTAAGGTTAATGTTCAATAATTTTGATAATATTTTTTGAGTTGTGTCAATGTTTAATGTCTTCTTTGACTATGATGTGGTATTGCATATAATTTGCAGGTTGAATGAACATACTGTATTTCTAACTTGATCATCCATCTTTACTAATACAAACACATAACTTGAATAAATTGATTATCTGTGGAAAATAGATATACTATGTTGGGACCGTGCTCAGCACGGACCACCCATAGATATAGATGTTAATATTTCAAAGCACAGGTACCTTATTTAATCAGTAATCTACCTAAGGTATATCTATTAATCTACCTAACTTGCATATATGCAAAATAGGCCAGACAGCTATGGTGCAGTGGATCGGGCTACTCTCTTAATTAGAGGTCTCGCGTTTGCTCCTCCCTTCATCAGAGGTCTCTGGTTCGAGCTCTGAATATGAAAAAATCTGTGTTTCGGGCTCCAATGCAGATAGCGTACAATGGGTGGAAAACCCAAAAAAAAATAAAATTGGCCACACAACCTCCACTCTTTTTAACTGTTCATTTTGGTAGCAACATCTTGATCAAATTAGTTATAAATTTGACATATTCGCTAAAAGTTCTTCCTCATTGTGATAATATGGAGATTCTGCACTTCCATTTTAACTTAATTCCAATCTTGCTTTTCTTCTCCATTCTCTTTATCGTAGTTAGAAAATGGAAAGAAATGAACCAAAGATTATTGCCACCAGGTCCATGGAAATTGCCTATTATTGGAAGCTTGCATCACTTTATTGGAGCACTTCCACATCATGTTCTTAGAAATTTATCCGGAAAATATGGACCTATAATGCACCTGAAGTTAGGGGAAATAGATGCAGTTGTTGTATCGTCTCCTCATTTGGCAAAACAGGTACTAAAAGTTCATGACCTTTCTTTTGCAGCAAGGACAAAGCTTGTGGCGTCTGATATAATCTTTTATCGTCAAAAAGGCGTTGCATTTGCAGAATATGGTGATTACTGGAAACAGATGCGAAAAATATGCACTTCAGAGCTACTCAGTGCAAAGATGGTCAAGTCGTTTAACTTAATTCGACAAGATGAGGTTCATAATCTTGTCGCATCAATTCATTCCACGCCAAATGTTGTGGTTAACATGTCTGAAATGGTTCTTCAACTTACCAGCTCTGTTATATGTAGATCAGCTATCGGAAAAGTATGGGATGATAGAGACAATTTGTTAACGAGCATGAGGGAAGTGTTAGACGTATTAGCCGGATTTTGATGTGGTAGATCTCTTTCCTTCATGGAAATTACTTCATCAAATCAGTGGAAAGAGAAACAGATTGATGAATATGCATCATAAGCTTGATGTAATATAGGAGAATATTATTAATGATCATAAACAGAATAAAGCAAATGGGGAAAAAGGCAACAACGAGTTTGAGGGTGAAGATTTGATTGACGTTTTACTCAGAGTTATGGAGAATGATGGACTTCAATTTCATATGACAAATGACAACATCAAAGCAGTCATTCTTGTAAGTTGATTTGGTTATAATCTCATTCTAACAAGTCAATCGTTAGCTAAAGTCTTCTTTTGTTTCTTAAACTCTATATAATCGCAGAATGTTACATTAAAATAATGATCTTCACTTGATTGCCATTCCACATGATTTGTCACAATATTGACACAAAATATTGTTATTATAGATTTGTGATGCTTTCTTGCCTATTCAGACTCTCTGCAAAGTTACATTTCAAACTTTTTTAGTGTATCCCCTAAGGAAGTAATGAATCCTATTTCATCCTTCTAATTGCAAAAGAGTACTGATGGTGGAAGGCTGTTGATAATTGATCTCCAGAATATAATTATGAATTATAAGACCAAAAATACATTTGAGTTTCATGCTGTTCAGCTGTGCTTACTTTCATAAAAGAAGTAGCAATTCGTTTCAATTTACAGGAGAAAACCTTACAACGAAAAACTATGGATATGTACCTCTATACACATCCTAAGTAAACCTAAAACTAGATGCAGGAAAGTTCCTAATCATGTTCCCCAAGAGTGATAGAGAAACAATGGAAACTTTAACTTTATAAACACCTTGCATCTAGAATCTGAACATTGTGAAGAAACAGCAAGTTGCTCGTTGCCTTCTGAAACTTAACTTGGGTGATTGTGCTGGCATTATCTCAACAGAATGATCGAATTGGAATGAAGAAAGATGAATGTGAAGATGAACAAGCTCAGCCGACAATTGCCAATAGGCTCTGTCTTACTGCTGGAACTGAGCATATAAGAGAACCAAATATACCAGTCAGGGCATATGCTATAGCGCAGAATGGAAGAGCTTCAGGTTCCTTAGCTGACAAAGCTGCTGTTCCGAGCCCATGAGCACTAAAAAACAAAATACAGATAGTCATTAGAGCAATATTATACAGCTTTGGTCTTCTTCTATGTAAATTTCTCAAACATAAAAATCGATCTTCACCAAATTAAAATATAATTTTACAGTTAAACTCAAACTGTTGATCCTAGAAGAGGAAAACTTGTTATCGTAAACTGAGGTTGCAAAAGCCAATTTTTATAGTTCTAGCATTTGATATAATTCTCTTTCGAAATGGATTCTCTTCTTTTTTTTTCTTTTCGAAATGGAGCATTAGATATAACTCTTACAAGGAACAGTCCTCTCATTGTAAAGCTAAATGATTGCTATCTGCACAATGAAAACGGCCAGTACCTTGATGCAGTTGCAATTCCTCGAGCAATAGGATCATTGAAGCCAAGTTTATCCAGCACAGCCTGAACAAAATTTGCTCCCACCAGACCAGTTAGTACAACGACAGCTGCTGTTAGGGATGAATTCACACCTGAATATCACACATTCAAGAAGAGTTTTAGCATCTTTTTCACTCTCGATTACCAGATAATCCATGATTCATCAAGCTTTCAGAGAACAAGATCATCAATGATATGTTCCTTACCTTCAAATAGAGAAACAATGCTGAGAGCTAGTGCGACAGTTATGCATCGTGGTAGGATCGATATAGTCAAATTTGGCTCCAATCCAATCAGCCTTCCAATGAGTGCGGTTGAATATAGTGAAAATAGCGTGGATATAATGACAGAGGTGAAAATCTCAGCAGCATGCCTTTTAACAAGCTGAGAATAGAAAATAGATAATTAGCATAAGCAAAAGACAGGAACAGGTGAGAAGCTGAAAGAGAGTGAATCCTCTGAAGGACCACTCATCTTACATTGGCTGCAAGAAGTCAGGAAGGTAAAGGATAAAAAGAAAAAAGTTTTATGTTTGTAAGAAAAGCGAAGGACAAGCAAAACAACTCCAAAATGAATCTACTGCTAGGTTTGGAATGTCATTGTTCAGTTCGTTCTATTTTTTAAGTCTTTGAAATTTGCCTCTTTTTTTTCTTGTTTTGTTGCCGTATACATCCTTCCTCACCAATCACCGGTAAACATAAAAGTTCTTCTATAAGTTTGAAGTCACTTTAAATTTCTGTCCTGTTATCAGCCTTAGTTGCAGTTCATTTCTAGTTACCTTTCTTTGCTTGAACATGGAGAAGGCAAAGGAGATGATGACTGATCCCAAAAATCCCATGAGAATGTCCCCAGCTCCAGGATTAGATGCGGCCTTTGTAAGATAATCCCCTGAATAAATAAGCAAGGAGAAAGTACAATTTGATTAGCTGAATGGACAAATAATGTTGTTCAGAAAGTTTGACGTCTCATGCTCATAATACTTATGTATTACGCAGGAAAACAAATGGGCAGAAATTGTAACATCTTACTATACATGTAGAAGCTTGACGTTTATGCATTAAATCTTCCTTAAACCTTCTTTTTATCTACTACATCATGTACCACTGAAATGGCTAATCTAAGTTGATATAGCTATAGTCAAGTCAATTTTCATGTTAATGCTGTAAGAATAAGAAAGTAAATAAATTATAACATAGAAGTAAAATCTTCACCAAGAACTGGATCAAGTCCAGACTTAGAAAGGTATCCAAAAGCAATGGCTGCAAGATCTGCAGAGACTGCACAACAGATGATTGGATGGAAAACCTTCTTTACAGCCGATGGAAGCCTGAGGATATAAAAATTATGAATGTATAGACCAGATGAACAAGAAAAAAGAAGAAAGTTTCTATGATAAACTGAAAAGTAGATTTATTCATGCTGAATCATACCCTGATCCAATTAGGTAGCCTAATACAGTAGATGAAAGTAGAAAGGGTAGGCATGTTCTAGCACTTGTTCCCAGTGCCGTCGGATAGTAAAGTGCACCAACAAATGATGCCAAAAAGATACCACTCCAAGTCCACATCTCCAAAGAAGAAAATGGAGAAGGCTTTGCCATGGGCTCAGCAGGTATCATCTCAGTCTTTACCATTTTCCTCACGGATATAGCTGTGAAACCCGCAACACAAAGAGAAGCCAACCAGCCTCCAACTGCAAAAAAAGTAAAAAACCAGTTACTCTCTTGGCATGAACAAAGAGACTTGCTCAAAGTGAGAAAAGAAAAGGAAGGAAGCTGCAGTTTTTTATAACCATATATATGTGACAGACTGATTCGGTTTGATTGCCTCGTTACCTTATTTTTCTCTTACTTAGTATTAATAATCTTATTTTACCAATTACCCTACCTTTTTATAATAACTGTAAGCTTACTCTTCAAATTGCTGGTGCGTGGTATTATGAAATGACGAGAAACAATAGAATCTATCAGAACAGTGTATTCATCACAACAATCCATTATGAACAATATGTAACAACCATTCAACGAGCTGTAAGGATATCTAGTCGAGCAGCTTACTATATGTTTGGGTACAATTAATAGGAACATGTTTGACTCTAAACAGGTCCTACTGAGCGCAATGTCCAAAAAAAAACCATTTTTGTTTCATAGGAAGATATTCAGTTATGAGTAACTAATAGCATTTTCTTATTCACATCGACTTAAAGTGTGATTATAATTTAGCAACACAAGGGCCTCTAGAAGCTAAATAGGCATCAAACTTAAAGTTAGTTGATCTTAATTCAGAGCTCTTTCTGCAAAAAGAACCAAAAGTGTGGCGATTTATCGTACAGTTAAGATGTGGTACCTAGTATAAAACAAATCTTGGCCCCAGAAGCTGCAGGAACATCCTTGACGGCAAGAGGGAGAACAACCAAAGAAGGTACATAAAACAATGGAAGCCATCTCTGGATAAACAAAAGTGCAGGCTCAAAAAAGTTCATCAATCCTTCTGCAGCCTTAGGAACAACGGAGTCAAGAATCGTTAGAACAGCAAATGTGCAAAACATTCCAAATAGAGCACTTGGGAACTTAATAGCAGCTTCCACAAATGCTTTCTTTAACAATTTATCCATAGCCAGTATGATTCCAAGTGAAACTAATAAATGCAATACTCCAAACACCTACAGCAAAACAAACACCAAAAAAAAAAATCAAAACTCAAGCTTTGAGTAGTAACAAAAACTGTTTTTTCAGGGAGTTGCTAAGAGGTTAAGCACTCCTCACTTCCAACACTTAGTTATAATAAGTTCGAGTCACCAAGGAAGCAAAAACGGTGGGAGCTCCCACGAAAGGGGTATACAAAAAAGCTAAAAAAGTAATCTTTTCCTCCATGAACTATAATATAGGCAAAACTGTTTTCCAAATTGATTAGTCAAACACGAAATACTACTCTCCAAAAGTACTTTTTAGAAAGCACCTAACAAAAAGAATATTTTCCAAAAAAAATTGTGGCCAACAAAATTTCACAATATGAAAGAGAAAAAAGATTCAATTTTTTGCCTTGCTTGGTAACCCTGTGGATGCAACACTACTGTCTGATCCCATGGATCTAACAATAAGTCTTCTACTAGAGTGAATTCTCTTAACACCCCTTTCATGGGATTGTGTATTTTCGACGAAATTTGTCTTGATATTGACTACATTAGAGCTCAAATTGGATTTCTGAGGAAGGATTCTAAGTGGGGTTTGTAAAGATTTGAGCTTTATTTGATAGAGAGTTGTTGGGTATTGGAAATTGGGGAGAAATAAACTTCTTGGAACAGCTGAAGCTGTTGCCATGGGAAATCTTGAAAAGAAGAGAATGTAGTTGGTCCATTTTTTGAACTGGCAAGTGAAGAAATTTGTGTGGATGTGAATAGAAAAAGATGATTCTTATTCTCTCCATCACATATAAAAGAGTGACTCTTTGTCTCTAACAATACTATAATCAGTTTTGTTCGTTGCCTTCTTTTGTCTGTATTTAACTTTTGAAAAACAGGACTTTTCTCGCATTTTTTACTAATCAATTCGAAAAACACTTTTAATAATATAAGCACATTTTTAGAAAAAAATTAAACACTTTTTAACTTCCCCAAAACTTTGTCAAACAAGCTACAAGTTCCTTCAAGGCTTACCAAAATATGTGGGGAGCCAGATTCTAATTTTTCACTTTGAGAGGCAAAAGAAAAATTGCTCTCAATTTCAGCAAAATATCAGGAGATCAATATACTGAACGAAGGGATTATTCGATACGTTTTAGCAGCTATAGATGGCAACCAGAGCTGCTAAAATCACAAGGTTGATAAAAAAATTGTACATATTACCAGGTAACTGGTGCTTTTGCATCTATTATAAGGAAACACAAAAAAAAGTATCTTAATCTATAACTGATTTCTTCTGTGTATCGCCGGTTAACGAACATTGTTAGGCAGCTTCACAGCTCAACAGTTGATGAAGAGGCTCTATAATTTGGAAGTTAATATGTTCCTTAACTCCTTTCTAAGTATCTTCCCAGCTGCAGACCTGGGTATGGAAGCTCTGAAGTAAACTTTTCTAATCCTCTTGAATGGTGCAACCTGTTATAAAGAATATGAAGTGATTAACAATGGAGGCGACTATATCCCAAGAATTCGTGATGCATAATATACATGTATTCTTGAGAATCATAAAATTAGCTATACCAAGAATTCGTGATGCATAATATACATGTATTCTTGAGAATCATAAAATTAGCTATGTCATACTAGCAGGGAGGAGATATGGAGGCTGCTGGTTAGGGTAGAAGGTTAGTTGAGTGTGGTCTAGTTTCCGTATCAATATTATTATAAGTACCCTCCTACTATATTATTCTTCGAGGGTCTATTGGAAACAAACTCACTACCTTCACGAGGTAGGGGTACAAACCACCCTCCCCAGACCCCACTTGTGGGATTTATACTGGATATGTGTTGTTGTTGTTGTCGTCAATTGTCATACTAGCAGGGAGACGAATGACTCGCTGCCAGATGAAGCAAGGGAATAACACAAAGAAACCCGAAAAAACAGATAGTGAAGCTGACTATTACCTGCTTAGAAACAAAGTCTATTACATCTGTTTGGGAAACTGCACACCCGTCTCTCTTAACGACAAATGCTACTGGAATTTCTCCAGCTTCCTCATCTCGGGCTCTGAAAAATCGAATAACAATAAAGTGGATGACAGCTAGAAGCCTGATCATGCTAAAAGTGGTAGAAAGAAATGATATTATGCAATTGCTCAAAGATCAGCATGGAAAATTTGGTGATAAAGAGCCAACGTGGAGTACTTTTACTGACATTGTCTCTAAATATCTTCCACAAATTTTGAGTAAAGACCGGTAAATTTTATCATGCACTTATTTCCACTACTTAATGATAACATCTTCCAATACAATTGAAGTTTTTAAAATCCAAATATCTGGGCATGCTCAGATTTGCAGTCCGACTCGTTTTCATTATATCTGCATAAAGGAAATAAGTAAAGGGAAAGCTCCTTTTGGTATGGTTGGACAGTTCCCGTGATTCAATATCTTTCATGATTGTTTAAACCAGTGACACTACTGGCTCTAGGGTAAAAGTAATGAGAGCGTAACTTACTACATCAGTCTAGACACCAAAAATACGTGAGGACTACCAGATATACTCTGAGCCAAATTGATATAAGCAGCAGGAAATCAAATTTCTTCTGTAACTCCAGCAAAAGACTATATCGTGAATTCTATTTTAAGGAAGTTCACTACCATGGTAAACCACATGAAGGAACAGTTGATTGTGATTGAAAAAAAATAGTTCTCCCCCATTCATGCTTCTACCAGGCTTAGAGGTTGATGTCAATTTTTCCGAGCGAGTCACCTTTATTTTGAATTTTTCATATTTAGCAGTCCCTTCTAAGGAATGAATTTCAGTGTCATCGAAATGGTATCATGGAGGATAAATTACTAATTTCTATTCAAATTACATGTATTCCTTTTAACAGGTATGCACCAATATCTGAAGCACAAGTCAAGCTTACCCTGTTACTGCAGCATCAATGATATCTGGATGTGAGACCAATACAGATTCTAAATCAGCGGGAGCTATCTGCAAAAATATACACAGCAAGAGAATCCATCCATCATACTCGACAAAAAATTTAAAAGAATGATTGAAATAATAATGGAACTCAGGGTAAATTTCTGATGCTACTCAAACATATGAAGCATCAAGAAAAAATTGAACGATGAACGACAAGTCGGATTTATATTTATGAATATAAGATATCAGAAGCAGCATAACAAGTTTTAGATCTCAGAAAATATGCAAGAACTCCAATAGAAGAAATTAAAAGATCTACCTGAAATCCCTTGTATTTGATAGTCTCTTTCAGACGGTCAATGACATAAAGATATCCTTCTTCATCAAAATACGCAATATCACCAGTATGGAGATAACCATTGTCATCAATGGTAGACTTAGTAGCCTCTAAGTTATTTAAGTATCCTGGAAATTGAAGCCAAATACAGAATTTTTACTTACTGTTTGGAAGCATAAATAGTTGTAAAGCCAAAACAAGATATATGGTAAGGCACTTGGCAATAACTTTGCATATCGGCTTTTGTTAAGCATTAGCTCAAACAGTATCATACATATCAGAGATACACTATGGTTATAAGAGCTAAAAATATTACAGTTTTTCACCTAAAATCTTTTTAAAAATATAAGGATGATGCATATCCACCAGAAAAAATCTTTCAAAATTTAGCGCTTAGAAAATTATGTGATGATTTAGCAGCATAAAGAGCATTTCAGAATCTTCAGATAAATAGAAACAGTAGCATTAGAGAAACTAAGTACCTTTCATTACACCAGGTCCACAAAGCCAGAGCTCACCCATGCAGTTGGGAGCTAAGGTTGAACCGGTGATCCAATCCACTACTTTAGCTTGCATGTTTGGAGCTAGAAGCCCTACTGAAGAATAATTATGCAGCTTTTCAGTATTGTAACCACGTGTTCCAGTAGCAGTTGACTCAGTCATGCCATATCCCTGGACAACAAATTATGACATATGTTCTGAATAGTGAAAGCAAAAACAAACAGTTAATTGTGCCATTCCATCTCTTTGGATGAGTAATGCTCCGAGTTGCAATATTCTAACACGTCTATGATTGCCAATTGACTCACAGGACAAGAGAATCAGAATCAGAAGAAGTTGAAGAAAGTATTTATTTTGAAGGGTTAAACCAAGGTAAAGAGCTTCAATTAGACTTATATCTAGAGCTAACATCATACAACCCAACTGATTTTTTCCCTAACGTGTTCTTTAAAATATGAGAGCAAGTAACCTGATCTCATCCATATCAAATAGAATAAAGCAAAATAGGGAAGTTAAGCAGATCAAAGAACATAAGTAAAGCACTTGTACTTTGAACTAACTAGCAACTTTGTCTTTCCAAAATGGTAGCTACTTTGACACATGTGGTAAGATGCATTCAATTGACAGTCAGTGATTTAGGGGAAATACCTGAATGAAATCAACATCCGGGAGAGTGTGAACGAAGTCTTCAATGGATTTTGGGTTTACTGGTGCTGCACCACATGAAACCTGTTTCAAGCTCTTCATACTGCTCGAAGCACCATCCTTTGCTCTTCTAGTCAATGCCATTAGTAATGGTGGGACTAGGGGAAAATGAGTGACATTGTATCTCTCAATAGCTTTCACCATCTCATCAGCGTCAAATTTGCTCATCACAACAATGGTAGTTCCCAACGACAACAACCCCATCACAAAGAGAGAAAGCCCATACACATGAAACATTGGTGTAACATCCAAATACACATTCTCAGAACTCGAATATTCATATTGTGAAGCTTCAAACCTCACAAAAGTTTCCACCATGGCTATAAAGTTCCCATGAGTCAAGATAACGCCTTTTCCCACACCAGTAGTACCAGACGAGTACAGAATTGCCGCTGTATCTTGCTGACTTATTTTAGGTCTTGAATCCCAATTAGGATCACAGGAAATCAGCTCATAAAAAACAGAACTTTCACTACAATTCGAACCAGAAACCAAAATTTCTGGCACCCCTATAACTGGAATATCTAATGTAGACAATTGGTCAACTTTATCACTAGAAGTGAATGCCAAAGTTACAGAACAATCAAGGGCTTGCTTCTTTATCTCTAACAAATTGCTAAAGGGATTCATAGTAGTTGCAATTGCACCAAGAGCCAAAACACCCAACAAAATAACAGGGAAATAAATGGAATTAGGGAGTAGAATCAAAACAACATCACCTTGTGAAACACCCCTTTGTTGAAGACCACTAGCCATAGACTTAACCAAGGGGTAAAGCTCTGAATAGGAAATTGAAATGCCAGAAGCTGAGTCCACAAGAGCAGAAACCCCACCATTTTTGTGAGAAAAAATGAAGGAAACAACATCAAGCAAAGGGTCTTCTGGCAATTTTATGGAAGGGTACTTACTGCTGTATATACCTGTTTCAGCACAGTACCAAAAGGGAAATGAATGGGTTTTAGAAGGGTTTTTCTCAACTTCACCATTCCCACTTTCTTCACCCTCTATGACATGGGAGCTCAATTGGGTTTTCAAGAATGTTACCATTTTGATCCCTAAACAAGGATTAATTAGTGTTGTATCAACTCAAATCAAGAAAACCCACTCCACTGCATTTATAGAACAAAAAAAAAATCTAGGCTTTGCCATCTTGGCAAGTAATAAAAATTAACACTTTACTTGCTAAGACGCAACACACAAAAAATTAGTCTTTGCCATCTTATTAAAAACAGATTGCAAATATCTATCGATCATATGACTCGATTAAATTTAAATGGCAATAAATTTATTTAAAAATGACGTTTTCAATACAACATTTTGTATTTTTAGAATCTATTTCTATACAAAACTTTACCTTTTTTGATTTTATGTGATAAATTTACAAGTTTATAACACATTATTATTTTATGTAAAAGAATTACTGTGTCTTGTTTAATTGTACTATGAATCTAATATATTGTATAGTATATTGGTCACAATATTTGTGACTTTTAAAAGAATAAATTAAGAAATATGTAAAATTGGTTTAAGGAAAAAGAAAATCAAATTTAAAAGAAAATACATTAATGAAAATGCAGTTGGATATGAAAAGTTGACATGAGTGTGTGAATAAGTATTGTATATAAAGCCAAGTCATATTTAATTTTGGTTTCACAGTTTTGTCGTACTTAGAAAATGATGATTTTAAATTAAATTTTACATTTGAAAAAAAAGAAGAATAATTTAATTTGAAAAAAAAGAAAGGCTTATATTTAAGTTTGGTGCAACGAAAATGATTATTTGAAAAATGTGTGGGTTTTAAATCTTTTTTTATGTGCATTTGATGAATAAAAAAGAAATTATCTAGAAATATTGATTTATAAGTAGGGATATTCACTGCAAAGTGAAAAAGCAATTGATAATTAAAATGTGGTTTAATTATGGTTTTAGCAAATGATAATTAAAATAATCGGAACAAATCATTACTTTTTTTTTCCTTTTTAGTTGATATGATTTTATTTTTAAGAGTCAAATGTTATAAATTTTGATTAACATTTAAGATGTATTTTTTTATTAAATTGATATGAAAATAAATTGCAAAGTATTTTTCGTATAGTTTTTGAATACTTAATTTTTTTATTTTAAAATATTATATTAATGTAATCTAATTTAGTTTGATAGTTAGTCAAATTGATTCTCAAAAAATGCAACATGACAACTAAAATAAGAACAAATGGAGTGTATTTCTTCGTCCCGATTTAATTGTCATAATTTCCTTTTTTTTTATAATCAAACATATAAACTTTGATTTAACATTTTAAAAGGACTCAAACTCAAAATTCTGACAATTTTAGAATCTATTTCTACACAAACCTTCACCTTTTTTTATTTTATGTGATGAATTTATAAGGTAATAATAACATAATTATTTTATGTAAAAAATTATACTCGCTTATTTAATTGGACTATGAATCTAATATTTATACTATATTGGTCACAATATTTGTGACTTCTAAACCAAAAATTAAGAGAACATATAAAATTGGTTTAAGAAAAAAAAATCAAATTTAAAAGAAAATACATTAATTAAAATGTAGCTGGATATGAAAAGTTAGACAGGAGTGTGTGAACAAGTGTTGTGCATGAAGCCAAATTATATCTACCTTTAGTTCGACGGTTTTATCGTATTTAAAAATTATTGGTTTTAAATTAAATTTTAGATTAAAAAATAGGAATATATTATTTAATTTTAAAAAAGAAAGGTGTATATCTGTGTTTTGTGCAAACGAAAATGTTTTATATGACAAAATGATATATTTGAAAATGTGTGAGTTTTAAATCCTTTTTTATGTGCATTTGATGAATAAACAAGAAATTAATAATATGGTTTAATAATGGTTTCAGCAAAAGATATTTAAAATAATTGAATAAAATTGATTACTCTCTTTTTCTTTTTTTTTAATTGTTATGATTTCCTTTTTAAGAGTCAAACGTTATAAACTTTGACTAATATTTAAGATGTATTTTTTTTATTTATTATATTAATATGAAAAAGAATTGTAATTTAAAGTATTTTTCTTATAGTTTTTAAATACCTAATTTTTTTATTTTAAATATCATAATAATGTAATCTAATTTAGTTTGAAAGTTAGTCAACTTGATTCTTGAAAATGCAATATGACAACTAAAAAAGAATAGGTGGAATGTACTTCTCCATCCCGTTTTAATTGTTATAATTTCCTTTTTTTATAGTCAAACATATAAATTTTTACTAACATTTTAATATGCATTTTTTCATTAATTGCTATGAAAAATATTCAAATTATAGTACTTTCCATGTAGTTTTTTTATATCTAAAATTTTCTTTTTATATAGTGTATTAATGTAATCTAATTTAAATTTAAAATTTAGTCGGATTGACTTTCAAAAAACTTTACATAACAACTAAAACGAAACGGAGAGGAACGCCTATTTTAGAAAATATATTTGTGTCCTTTATTTTTAGGGAAAATGCACAAGTACCCCCTCAACCTATATCCGAAATCCCAGAGACACACTTATACTATACTAAGGTCCTATTACCCCTGAACTTATTTTATAAGTAATTTTCTACCCCTTTTTAGCCTACTTGTCACTAGCTTTTTTAAAAAAATCAACCTCGTTGGGCCCACAAGATAGTGCCACGTAGGTCGAAAAGGGGTAAAAAATTATAAATAAAATAAGTTCAAGGGGGTAATAGAACCTTAATATAGTATAAGTGTGTCTCTGAAATTTCAAGCATAGATTGAGTAGGTACTTGGGCATTATCCCTTATTTTTATATATATGTACTTACTATATGTGCATATTTTTTTATATAATTTCCTCTTTTTAGAATTTTACGATTATTGATATATTTCCTCTTGCTTTGTAATCTAGTCCTTTAAATTTATCTATGCATTCTCATTTGACTTGAAGTCTTTATCTTGAATTACTGATAAATTCAAGACTACATTTCATGTTAAAAATAATTTGTTTTAGTTGAATTCTTGATTCACTAGTGTTTAATTCAATTATCATCAATAGTGTTATTTTGTATCCTAAAAAATTCTAACATATACTATAATATCAATAAATATTTCAACAATATTCAATACTAAGAACCTTAAAAGTTGAACCCATCAAATTAAAATTCCGCTGATACACCTGCATTACAATGTCTTAAGACTTTCCTACTTTACCTAGATTTCATCTTCTTAACAAACAAAGAGGAAAACAAGAACACGTATTTTTTTTTATGACAAGGACCCGCAGTTGCTACCCTTTGGGTGCGCACAGGATAAAACCTCACGCCTATGTAATAGCTCGCAAACCACAGAGGAGAGGTAACTGCACTAGACAATCTTGGTGCGACGAACACATGTATTAACATCTCAAAAAACTTGTGAGAAAATTAAAGAGACTAAAATGCATTTACATTGGTGGACACAAAAATTATAACTAGAAGGGCATGACCTGTTTAGCAAAATGTTAAACTGGTCTTAAGTGAGGTGGTTAAGGCAATTAAGCTGCTAAACATCAATCAAACTAAGGATTAAACCTGGCTTCAATAATGATATCCGCTATGTTGATATTGCGAATCGTGGTGATACTGTGACTGGTAATCATAGTGATATACATGACTGGTTTGTTCATATTCATAGTGAAACAAGTCCCCTGGTTGTCCGACTTCATAGTGCTGGACGTTGTGAGATGTTTGAGACGTCCCAGATGGCTCGACTTCCTTGAGGTCTTTGGCATCATGAGTTGGTGATGGAGAACTGAGTTCACTCAGTGGGGGGCTGGGGCTGTGAGGAGGAGGCTTTTTGTCGATTTTAACGTCCTCCAGTTCAATCTCTTCAAATGAGTGGAAAATAGGATGTAGATATGCATCAGCCAAGTATGCTTTCAAGTTGGCGTCAGATTCAGAAGATCGGTCTTGCAAGTCCTTTTCCATTGCTTCCTGAAAATGATCATGAGATGTGAGATGTTATTCCTTTACTATTTGTTGACGATATAAGTACATAGACTAGTGGATGTTCTCTCTATCCGCTTAAGCTTTCAGACAAAGTTCCCTATAATGAATAAACAAAAGTTGTTGTTCTCTCTGTCAGCTAAAGCTTTTAAATGAAGTGGTTGCAAGATTCATCACGGAGAAATATTAAGAAACGGAAGCATGTGTTAATATGCCAGAAATGTGTTGAGAAAGACGTAATATATGACTAGCAAGTGAAGGTTACCTCAATGGGATACTTTCTGAATGCAGGTTCAAATCGACTCTTACAATACTTGTGAAATGTTAAGGTTAAAACAGGCAACACCACGAGGAACGGAGTAGACTTAGCAGCTTTCTTTGTGCTCAACAGACCCATCAGAAGCAGTTGAGATATTACTAAGCTTGCTATAATGCGCCCATGAACATGGGGCCAAAACGCAGCACAACTTTCATAACGTTGGTTGTACACATTGATTACCTGTATAAAACAAACTAACAATCAGAAATCATGGCTGATGAATACACCATATAAAGCTATGTTCTTGAAGAAGGACACTACTTCCTCCCTATACTGGACTATTTAACACCGCCACCAAGTATCGGAAATTGACTCCCACAATACTGCAGAGTATATTCATAAAAATGATAAACCGGTAACATGCGTATTTTTGCAAACACTCTAACTACATTCCCCGTAAAATGCCACACAAATCATTAGGTCTCAATGTTTGATCACTGATGCAATGAATTGCTCTTATAAATTGCTTCAATACAAAAAGAGCTACTTCCAGCTATGTGCGTTAACAAGGTTTATAAACAAATCGACAAGTTAAAAAGAAAATGATAAAAGGATAAGGACTAACCTGATGACGGTAAACGAGATAAGCAAAGGCAAAGAAGATCAGTATGAAAGGAAGAAGGATTGGAGTAACCACAGCATATACTATTCCCAGAAGAAAATATAGTTGAAGACTTGGAAGTGTCTCGGGAAAATCTATGCTCCCAGGGTCCATTGCTCTCTCCACGTCCCTTTCAGTTTTCACAAGGAACATGTTCTTCAGATGAAAAATAACCAGAGGTTTCAATCTGAGAATTTCACCAGCAATACCAGCCCAACCATCAACCATTATATATGTCATAAAGAAAGTTGCTTTCATTGGTATTGATACCCCAATATTTCGCGGTATCCTGCATGAAAGAAAACAAAA